GTTGAACAAATTAGGGGTCTTCAAGTACACTTTTTCTCCACAATTGCAGGTCTTCTCAATTGGAGCACCATTAATCTCGGAGTTCCAGCGAGAGTTCCAACTTCCTCTTGAACTGCTCATAGTGCAAAATTGCAAATACTTCAAATTCTTTTTTTCCCTCACTTTCGGCGGCTTTGTGGTGCTGTAATGGAGATGCCCGCCATTTTCTATCACTTGCAGAAGAAGACGACCTGCTAGAGAAGGTGACCGTCAGTTGACTCACGGTCAACTAACGATTTCGGCAATAATGATGGATTTTGAATACTTGAGTGACTGAAAATGATTAAGTTGAAACCATGGGTATCAAAACTGAAAAGTATGTAAACCTGGGGTACCAAAAGTGAAATTTCCCTAAATAGTAGCCAACTAATAAAAATCATCTACTATGTTTTCTTTATTAAAAGAAATATTAAAGTATAAATTAATGTTGACGGTTCATATTTATACTTGAGACCAAAATAGATTGAATAGTGAATTTTGTCTATTTTTTATTGCCACATAAGCTTGATTACGTCCACTTCTAATTGCACTTGATAATAATATTTTAGTATAGGCCAAGTTTATTTTCTATATGGCATATAATTATTTTTTTAGGGGGTCCAAAATATTGTGGGTGGTCCAAGCTAACTATACAAGTTCATATATAAATTTCGCAAAAGATATTTTTTTTTGGTAGAGATGATAATGCTTTCGAGCTTGAGTATGAGCCCAAGGCTCAGCTGGTTTACCCGGCACACAAATCTTTATAAACCCTCACGCACGACAGTCCCCCACACCTCCACCCGATTCAAACCAATGTGCAGCGAGACCAATCGGAAGCGCAAGCGCGGCCGCCGCCCCAAGACCCAGCCGTCCGCCACCGTGGTGCTCGACAACATAAACAACGACGCAGGCTCGCCGCTCGCGGCCGGCGCCTCCGGCGACGACGTTGTCTTCTCCGTCAACAACGTGGAGCTCATCCAGCCCGCCGCCAAACCCTCTTCCCCCAACAACCGTGGCCGCCGGCGCGGCCGCTCAAACAAAGAGATCCTGACGGAAAGTTCCATCGCCGCCGCCGCGGCCAATGGCGTAACCCTACCTGTTACGGCCTCGACAGGCGTGCTTAATGGCGGTGTGTCCACCTCGATGATTGATGAGGTGAGCGACGTAGCCAGAGTCGTGCCCGCCATGGATGCTGTGGTGAAGGTGTTCTGCGTCCATACCGATCCCAACTTCTCGTTGCCGTGGCAGAGGAAACGCCAGTATAGCTCGAGCAGCAGTGGCTTTGTTATCAGCGGGAGGAGGGTTTTGACGAATGCGCATTCTGTCGAGCACTTTACGCAGGTGAAGTTGAAGAAGAGGGGTTCTGATACCAAGTATGTAGCCACGGTGCTCTCAATTGGGACGGAATGCGACATTGGTGAGGCTCGATTTTGTCTTTTCCATTGAATCAAATCTGCCCCTTTATTAGGGAATCTGAATGAATTGAATTCACATGTTAAGCTGTGTAGTAATTCTTTACTTTATGCTTATTTTTTGGAGAAGCAATACATAATCACATAAAAGCTTATTTCTCACTAATCAGCTCATTTCTAGTTTTGAGCCTTTAGTTATTTTGAAGGGAAAAATGTTAAAATGTTATAGGAATTGATCGCAAGACCTCATGATTTAGTGTCATTGGATCGTAATCTTGCCACCAGGTTTAGCTGAGCATTAAAGGTACTCTGTCATTAGCTGGGGGTTAGCTGGGGTTCTTGGATTTGGAGTAACTGATTCTATTTTCTCTAATATGGGGATTGTTGACTTGGTGTTTGATAGAATGTATTATAATGCTTGTTGCATAAAATGGTCTGTGTTGCTGCAATGGGATAAAATATTGTAGCATTTATGCATTCTAAATAAAGTATTTGAATAATTGAATTACTCATATGCAGTGTTTTTGAAGCTTTTGAACATTGATTTTGATTTGAGTATAGGAAATTTTATTTTTCATGTTGCAAAAGCCAAGATATGGTTTTTGATTCTTATTTCAATCAAATTACTGGTCAGATGTTGTGTGCCCTGTTTAGGTTTCATCCTTCGACTCACATATGAATAAGAGGTGCGGGCAATGATGGTTCTAGGCGAATGCCCACTCCTATTTTGGCTCTAATACATGCTGCTACCGCGGTAGCGGCGGGAATTTTTCTTGTAGCTCGCCTTCTTCCTCTTTTCCTAATTATACCCTTTAAAAGGCTTTTAGGCCATTCTCTCTAGCTGCTGCACGTGAAAAGAATCCGCTCTTAAATGTATGCTTCCTGATTAATGTCAGAAGAATCATCATGAAAGAGGCGATCAGAAGTTTTTCAAGGAAGAATGAACGGGGTTATATAAAAAAAGAAGGCCCCAAAGATTCCAAAAAAGTGATACTTACTGAAAAAAGGTCTTAATCATCTCTCTCAACCAGGTAACTAGCAGATGTTGACGTTGCTATTGCTGTTATATCACCCCAAGCTCCCATAAATCAGGGGGCTGATGTGGGGGAGTGACACATCGAAAAATATGTTGTCTTGCTACTGATAGCACAAAATTACCATGACAATTATCTCTATAATGTTTGAGAGTTGTGACTCATTATATCAATTCAATAGTTTGCTGGTGAAGGAAATTATAGTATCTTGTTTCAATCCAGCGTTTGAAAACCATGGGTGATTCAAGTCTATCCGGTAGTTTTAAAGAGGGCCCAGGAATCAAATAATTAAAGTTTCCCATGCACATGCGGGCGGTGCTTGCACACAGACACGAAAACTCACCTGCATCAGTTACTTTATTGAAAAGGACAAGCGGAAAATGCTCACCGCTTTCTGAAGCCTGCGAAACAGATATTTAATAAGCGGTTCATAAAATCTGCACGACAAGCATTGAAAGCCTCTTTGCAGAATCCATTCTCATATTTTCTTCTATATCAAATCTGAAAACCTTTCTTTTTCCACATCCATTCTGCAGCATACTGCAATCCGAACAACTGAGTCGTAAATACAGAAGTCACCTTAAGAAAAAAAAAAATAAATCAGAAAGTCATGGTGGCAGAGCTCACTCGGTCCCCACCTATGTCCCTGCTGATGATGTATTGTACTCTGTAAGAAACATGGAACTTACTGATCTTAATTCTTCCTCGTTCCCCCCTTCACCAACTTTTTCATCTTCCAAAGACCTTGTGTTCTCTGTGAGAAATATGGAGCTTATAGATATTAATTCTTCTTCTCCACCCCTCTCCTCACAAACCTGTGAAACTTCCAACGGTGCTTTGTCCTCTGTCAGCACTGTGGAACTTATCGACCTTAATGCTTCCTCATCCTCCTTCAACGAGAACCACCCGAAGCGAGATGTCAGCCTGCATAGCCAGATTGAGCAGACTGAATATAGCCCATGCAACACCTCCTCCGTAAGAAATGAGGAACCCACTGACCAGAATTCTTCCCCATCACTCCTCAGTGAAGAAGTCAGTGGGTCATGCCTAAATCGGCAAACTGAAATCACCGTTCTTTATGGCAAAACCCCCTGCAACTCTCCTGCAAGAACCACCACCTTCGCCGAGGATGTAGTTATTCCCAAGAGAGGTGTGGGGTCCATGAACCCTAATTCTTTCCCATCCCCACGCCGAAATCGTCTAAAGCTAAAGTGCTGCTGCCCTGTATTTTGGCTGTCGGGGTTTCATTTTTCCATAGTACCATCCCCAAGACCACCAATTTCGTACCACCCATTAACACCATCACCAGTGATGTGTTCCCAGTGAGGAATGTGGAACACATTAACCCTGAATCTTCTGCAACCTCCTTCCACCAGGACCACCACCACCAGAGACCCCCTTTGGATCCCAGCAAAACCTCCAGAACTGTCCTGGAACTTTATCCCTAGCCATTATACAGACTGGCAACCCCTCGTGTGCTGCTCAGTGCAGAGAGCAGGGTGGGCCCTGTGCTGCTCAATGCTGTAAATGAGAGTGAGGTGACTGGAATCTTTTCGAAGATGGCTTCTGTGGTGAAAATCTATTGTGTACATAGCGAGCCGAATTACTCTCTGCCATGGCAGAGAAAGAAGCAGCTGTATTCAGACAGTAGTGGGTTCGTGATTTGGGATAGGAGGGTCTTGACTGGTGCACGCTGTGTCTGGAATTACACACATGTGAAGTTGAGGAAGGGTGATTCCCACTCTAAATATGTGGCTAATGTGCTTGCTTTCGACACTCAGTGTGACATTTGGTGAGGGACTTGAATTGGTTGATTGGGTTATTTCAAACTGATATCTTTCTAAAGGTTTAATATCTGAATCAGATAATACTTGCATGTCATGGTATTGTTGGAAGTTTTATTCTATGTATTTGCCTTTTGTGCTTTTATTGAGGAGTTAGAACTGTTTGCTACTCTTCTAGGCGCTTTAGGTAGAGATATTACTGATTTCGACTGCCTATTGTTTGCTTGGTCTTATGGCTAACCAGAACTCGGCACAAACGTAATTACTAAAAGATTGTAATAGAAATTATCACTGTATTTAGATTGTGGCAATAATATAATTCCTGCTAAAGGTTTTGGATTTTTTTTTGACATGGCAATTGAATGCCAAATAATTGATTATTCTATTTCAATCTGGATAGATATTTCAAGGTTTGTTTGTTGGTGCTGTCTTCTAATTGTTTATCTGATGTGATAAACAACCATGTTTATGCTAAACTCAATCAAACGGTAGTTTCATGGAAGTCTATAAAAATGGTTACTGTAACTGGTGCATTTCATTCTTGATTTATATAATGGTATTAGGAAACAGATTATTGTATGAGGATGTTGGAAGAGTTTGTCTTCATCTTAATGGTGATCATCCGTAGCTCATGATAAGAAAATATTTATTGTTGTGCGCCTGTGGGAATGTTGTCTAAAGTGCATGCAGATTTGTAAAGGAACCGTGTTATATCTTTGAAAGAAAAAGAATTTTGAACTATAGAATCTCCTTACGCAAGAAAGGCTTTGTCTTATAAATATTATTATTCTTAGTACATGCCAGTTTGTTAAACTTTTGTTTCTGGTTTTCTCAAATTACTATTTTTTCTAGCGACTCGAGTTATACTTATTGGATAATGACCCGTTAAAAATCTGATGGAGGAGCTGGGTAAGTAATACTTGCTTTCTGAGGTTCACTTTGTTTCATATGATGGTGCAGCTTTGCTAACAGTTGATGATGATGAATTCTGGGAAGGCGTGTCCCCTGTGGAATTTGGGGATCTGCCTGCACTTCAAGATGATGTTACAGTTGTTGGTTATCCAATTGGGGGTGATACGATCTCTGTAACAAGTGGTGTGGTATCGCGGATAGAAATTCTTTCCTATGTTCATGGATCAACCGAGCTTCTAGGATTGCAGGTAGCCTGCAATTCATTTTTTTTTTTT